GTTGTGATGAAGATACCGTCAGAGCCAGCGCCAGAAGGGTCAAAAGAGGGGCGAGCATAGGTATTAATAATGGCGGGGAGCGTGTTCGTCTTCGGCGCTGCAAAGAGTCGGCCAGCGAGCTCACTGTAAATATGGTGAATAGCAGAGGAAACGGAACCGTCAACAACCGACAACAACGCGCTACGCGACTTGAATTTGCTTCCGTAGCACGGATGTAATTCGTGAACTCTCCATTGATTTGCGGGACCGATGTAAAACTAAAAGTAATAGTAGTCAAAACGTTGTATTCTAAAGCAGCAATGAGAACGACGCGAAAGCCGAACTTGGGGAGATGATGATGGATCCGTCATTAATGTAAGGAAAGCAAGTGAAAACAGTCAAGTACAAGATAATTTCGATAATTTCATTACGCCCCGGGAAGGAAGATAGCCAATCCGGACGCCTGAACCTTTGCAGGATCCTCCGCATTCACTGCGGCGATCAGCTGGATGAGCTCAGCCCGAACATCGTCGCCAACCTGATCCGGCTGGTTCGGGTCGAGGACGTGGGCAAACACCTGCAGTAGACGTTCGAGGAAAGGGTAGAGAGCAGCGCCGTTCGTGCGGAAGAGGTGGAAGATGGCGGTGAAGACGGGGCGGTTCTCCAGGTAGTCGTTCTTTAATGGGAGGGCATCGACAAAGATGGGGAGGACTTGGTCGAGGGGAATGGCGGCGGTGTTGCGGACAAGAAGACGTCCGACAGCACCCGTTGCGTTGTCCTTGGCGTTGAGCTGGGCTGCGGGGGCATCGGGGGTGACGTTGAACAATGGGCGGAGAGCACCAAGGAGATGGAGGTATTGCGGGGCAAGATCAACGTCGGTGTTCTCAACAAGTTGCCCAACGGCGAAGGCAGCATTGCTCTGCACTTCCGCGTCGGGGTCACCAAGAGCACGGTAGAAGAGCTCGAGGAGAGGCTCGGTGGAGGGGGTGATGGCACCCTTCATGCCAGCAATGATCTCTGCGAGGCATCCGATCGCGGACGAACGGTCGCTGAGAGAGCGGCTCTTTTTCTAATGGCGCTGTGAGTAACCGGGGAGAGATAGATGTAATGCAGATGCACACTCACGTAGTACTTGGCGATGAGAGGGAAGAAGGTGTTGAAAGCAGGGGTAAAGTCGGCACCAAGGGCGCTGGCCAAGGCAGAGACGAGGTCCCCAGCTGAGGAAATCAAGACGGAGTCGTACTCAGCCTGGTCTTCAGGGGCCTCCTCGTCCTCATCCTGGTCAGGGTCCTGTTGGCAGAATGCCTTCTGCTCCAAGATTTGGATGGCGATGTTGCAGATGGTCTCAAGGTCTATGAGCCAAGGTGGGTGAGTGATCGACCAAGTAAGCTATCGTGCAAAGACTTACGGCCTTCAACAAACGCGGGACCGATCTTGGTGATGGTCTCGGCGAGGCCAACACACAGAGAGGAAGCAACAGACCTTGTGAGGGAGAAGATGGCAAGTCAGTAACAATGATGCGAGGAATAATTGAATGAAGAAACGATCAGAAAAAATATTAAGGTAGTCTCATGGCCCAGAGGCTCGAAGTGAGCTGAGTTATGTTTTTCATCTCGAAGTGGTAAAATCAAAGCTTCAGACAGACGAAATACCCACTTGTTGTCCTCAGTCTCGTACATCTCCAAGAGGGGAATCAAGGAGTGGCCGACGAGCTCCTTGACGGTGGGGCTCAGGGGAACGACCACAACAGCACCAGCCTGCCACTCCTGAGGGTTGCTCAGGTCGTAGAAGGTCCTGACGACCTCCAAAAGCGAGTCAGTAGCGCTCTTCCTGATGCCTTCATAGTAGTGGGGCAGGAGGGCAACGAGCTCGAGAGCAGACTGCTCAACATAGGGGAAGAAGTGAGCCTTGCAGGCGGCGAACAAGGTGCCGATGGTGTCAGCAGCGATCTCTTTCTCAACAGCGATGGCGCTGTTGACATCAAGCATTTTGTCGAGGTCGATGTCCTCGAGCTCGATCGAGGTGTCGCCGTCATCTTCGCCAGCCACGGTGATGGCGTTGGAGGGGGAGGATCCAGAGGCGAAGGCGGAGGTGGCGTCGGCGACAGAGACTATGGAAGGCTCGTCAGAAAAATGTTTGCAACAGCCGCCGGAAGAAAAGCTTACGGGACAGAGACTCTTCTCCGTGCTCAGGCTGCTTGCAACTGTTCAAGAGAGCAGGGACAACGTTCGGGAGGTAAGGGGCGAACTCCTCTTCAAAAACGCGGGCCATAACACCGAAGAACAAGAAACTGCACTCCCTGAGCCTGGCGCTACCCAACTCAATGCCCTGGAAGGCCTGCTTCATCATGTCAGGGAAGAAGGGCCTGAAGACATCCTTGCCGACGGCCTCAGCGAAGGTACCGATGGCATCCATGGTGATTCCGCGAAGCTCAATCTCCTCACCCTCACCAGTCAAGACGAGGAAGTGTTGGATGTGGGCCATAGTAGGCTGGAAGTATGGCAGGAAGCGAGACTTCGAGGCATGGGCAGCGCTACCAATAGCACCGGTCACGACAGCCTTAACGGAGAGAGGAGCACTTTCAAGCAGGCCGCCGAGACGCTCCATGATGAGAGGGAGGTATTGGTCGATGACATCCTGGAGGATCTCGAGAAGGGCATCGAGAGCAGTGCAGGCAGTGCGTTGGGTGTCGTCATCGTTTATGAGGTTCATGATGCCCTGAAGATAGGGAATAAATTTGGATTACAAGAGAGTCCAACGAGCAGGGACGTACGGGAATGAGGACAGCGTGCTTGGCAGCGCATTCCTCTTCGAGCCACTCGCAAAGGCAGCTGACAGCTACGCAGGTCGCTTTTCTGACGGTGGCGTCGCCATCCTGGAGACCAGCCTCGATGATGGGCCAGACTTCGCCCATCAAGGGGGTCATGTACTCGCTGCATCCCTCGACGGAGACGCCGAGAGCGAGCATAGCACCACGGCGGTTCTTGGGATCCGGAGAGGGAAAGTATTGGACGATCAAGCTGCGAAGAGCGGGGAAGACTTGGGTGGGAGGGAGGTTGGTGGCGAGGCCATCGATGATGCGGAGGGCAGACTATATAACGGTAAATTGGAATACAAGGCGCTAGAAAAAGTCGTGCTTACGCGGGAAGGCGCGTCATCGTCCAGGTCTTCGGGTTCGTCCTCGGTGGCGATGGGCATGAGACCTTCGAGGATGGCAGGGGCAAGATTGTGGCTTTGAATCTTGGATTTTTTGCTGATGCGAAGATGAGCGGCAGCGAATGAATGTAGAAAATGTGCACATACTATTGAACGGTCCAGTTAAGGGCGTTCAGCGCGAGAACGCGAAGCTCGGCTTCGAAAGTGCGGTTGCCTCCACAGGTGAGGAGGAACTGCGCAAGCTCGGGGATGTGTTTTCCGAGGATGGGCACTTCCAAAATAAGGAGGGTCTCCAGAACGTCGAACAGTTGCCTAGCACCGGTTTCATTGCCAGTTTCAACACTCTGTCCGATAACCTGGATCATGGCGGGAAGGAGGGATTGGAATGCTTTCTACATCGAAAATGAGCGAATCGTCGAAGCTGACAGTTGGGTGTTAATTTTCTTACGAGGTCATTCTTGTCATCGGAGTCGATATACTGCGCAATGACGCCCAAAGCCCTAATAATCATTCACCTAAGAAAAATATCCAGGAATGTAGACCGGTTATGACGTACCTGACAGTCGTGATGCGAACTTCAATGCTCTCAGGGTCGGCCAAAAGTTGCTCAAAGAGCTTGAAGAAGCTCTGGAGGTGCTCTTGGAATCCTTCGACAATGTTCTCGAGGACCGTGAACAGAATGTAGATGCCGACTTCACGATGAGTGACAGTGGGAGATGTGCATGTTTGATGGAGGAAAGGTAGAAGGTCACTCCAAGTTCCGAGAGGGATCTCGATCGTAGCGATGGCGGCAACTACCCGGGCAGCGGAGTGGCGGACGAGATTGCTAGATAAAAATGCGATAAGAGACCGATCTCCTGTATGATATCGATGCCACGCAAATTAACGCACTTTTGTTCGGCAAGGATAAGCTCAGGAAGTTTTGATTTGATCTGCTCGCGCTCATTTTGTTGGAGTTGAGTCCAAAGGTTTCCGGCAGGCTCTTCAGCTGTCTGCAGAAAAGGTAAGGCACTTTCAAGTCAAAGGGGACGTTATGTGCGCACTTGTGACATGGTTCCGAGCAGAAAGGAACATTATTTGGCGATGACGTACTTGAGAGCACCCAGTGGCTCGAACTACCCAACATTTTTAGACTTAGCCTAGCATTGGCACGTCGTAGCACGCTCGTCCCTTGTATACGTAAATGTCAGCTGGACATACATCATACATATTCCACCATGGAAGGACTACTACTATGACCGATCTCTGCAGTAGCGTGGCTGCGTGGTTGAGCCACATCCTCTGTGGCGTGGGTTCGAACTTCGAATCCCACTCTAAAAAACTCGAAGATACCTATTTCTACCTTACCGAATGAATTTGAATTTCCACGGGTCCAGAATATTAGCAAGAGAAATACTAGTAAGTTACACTAGCTCGAAACTGCGTAATATTGCATTCATCAGAATCATCTAGGTACTGCCAACACTCATTTCAGAGGAAACGTGTTTTTGGCCGTTGTTCTGGTTCACGCTCCTCTTCGGCGAAGGAGTCGCTTCTCAGTGGCATTGATTCATTCGCTATTAGCATGGATGTTCTTGAAAGCAGTGGAATTTGAACCACAGGGCTTATACATTATGCACGTACGAAACGCCTCCGGTTGTTGGCTCTTGAGGCGCAAAAAGCATCCATTCCATGAATTCCACAGGTCTCTTTGCAGATGCGAGCCATCCATATTTGTAAAGCTCACATGGAGGGCATCACGCAGGTGGTATTCTACGCAAGGTTCGCATCCATTGCAATGACTTCATCTATTTGATGCCAGTGGCTCGCGGTTGCGTCGTCGAGCCTCTTTAAACTCATCACGTGGATCTATGGCCCTTTTCAACGGTGAGATGGCCGAGCGGTCTAAGGCGCCAGACTAGGGACCAAAGTAGTTGCTGCTTTCAAAGTGGGATTTGAACTCACCTATATGGTCCGAATAGGGCCAGGGTTCAAATCCCTCTCTCATCACTCCCTTAGCGCCACACTTTTAGGCTTGGAAGACACGGAAACGCCGCAGAATTGCAGCGATTCTGGTTTTTGACGCTGTGATGCGCGTGATGCGATAGTTGATGGGAGGAGTTGAAGTCCGAACGCCGACCCGGTGGACAACAACTGCAAACACACCCCCTGCCTCCCACTGAATGTTCGCACTTCGACGAGGGCCGAGGCTGGCTCAGCACCTGCGTAGCCAGGCTCCAAGGTCTTATAGGCAACTATCTTTACAGGCGCCCCGGTCTGTGACAACTGGGCTCTACGCCACTGCTTTTGTTCTGTCGACTGGACTATTTGCTGTCTACTACTTTGATGCCCGCTCTGCTCTTCATCGGTACATTCTTACACCAGTTCTCCGACATACTTTGGATGCAGAGTCGGGACACAAGTTTGCGGTCAAGGTGCTACGGAGTGGCCTCGGTCCCAGAGATCCCTGTTCCGACGATGTACGCTTGAAATCGGAGGTACGCGGTCACGTTGATGGTCGAGCGCCTACAGCTCACGCGACTGCTTTGCGATAGCTATGGGGACAGGATATCTCAAATCCGGTGGGACTGGCAGCAGGGTTTGACAAGGACGGAGAGGCGATAGACGGTACGCATAGTTCCGCATTACTTGTTGGGTGTTCCAACGATTGCCGCAGGGCTGTTCAACCTCGGCTTTAGCTGGGTAGAGATTGGCAGTGTAACTCCCAAGCCACAGGTCCGAGAATACCCTTAAGCATAACCCCCAATGAAAGCTGATTTCTGGTTGTTAGCCGGGCAACCCAAAACCTCGTGTATTCCACTTGACGGAAGACTCGGGCTTAATCAACAGATACGGTTTTCCGTCTCAAGGACACGCCTCCCTTCTCGCCAGACTCCGCGCTCGTATCCCTGTATTTGGACAAGAGCACGATACTGCCGCGCTCCGGCCCAATTCGGTTCTCGCTGTCAACCTCGGCAAAAACAAGGAGTCTCCGGCGGACTCCATCGACGACTTTGTCACCGGTGTCCGTACATTTGGACCTTATTCTGATGTCCTGGTCGTCAATGTTTCCAGCCCCAACACGCCTGGCCTAAGGCAAGTCCAGCGAGGCCAATTTGCACATTGCGCGAAACTAAGACAAAGCTCCAGGGGACTGCAGAATCGTGACTTGTTAGAAAAGCTGCTCACCGGCGTTGTAAAGGCACGGGACGAACTCCCAGGCTCTGACCGACCGAAACTGGTGCTTAAGCTCTCTCCTGACTTGGATGAGGCCCAGATCAAGGATATTGCAGAAGTCATCAGAGAGAGCAGCATTGACGGTGTGATTGTGAGCAATACTACGATCGAGAGACCAAAATCTCTCACGGGAAGTAAGTGGCCTAATCTCGACAAGAGGGCTGCGCTGATGAACTCGAACTCCCTCAGTCAATAAAGCCGAAGTTGGCGGTTTGTCTGGAGCGCCGGTCAAGCAGTATTCCTTGAAGGCTCTACGGACACTTCGCTCGCAGCTTCCGTCCTCAATCCCGTTGATTGGATGTGGCGGTATTTTCACGGGCACGGATGCTCTTGAATTTGCCAAAGCTGGGGCTTCCTTGGTTCAAGTCTACACTAGCTTTGGTTACGACGGCGTGGGTACATGTCGACGCATCAAGGATCAGCTGGTGGAGGAGCTGGACAAGGAAGGGACAACCTGGAATCAGGTCGTGAAGAAAGCTGTCGACGAGCTCAGTCTCAAGCCTACAGAGCCAATCAGAAATGTTGTTGGCGGTGAGGGAGCCATCAGCCAGCTAATATCGGAGGCCAAGGAGCTGCAGGGGCTGCTAGATAAGCTCGACGAAAAGATAGCCAGAGGAGACGCATAGATATAGAGACCAGTTTTCCAGCGTATGTACGCGTACAATTTCAAAAGAGATATACCCTTCGAACGAGATAAGATTAGATATGTAGATTTCCTTTTGCCGGACTCGGTGGTTTTTTACTCCAACACCATTTGGCACGCCAATTGCGCTTTCCCTTTGATCTTCCCAACCGCTCGCTTTGGCATGTAACATATAGTTGTGCACTCTGCCATATCCTCAGTCCAGTTCTACTCCTCGCGGCTGCTTGACCGGGTTTTATTCTTTCCCATGAGCTCGCACCGTCGGCCCTCCACTACGACCACTCCTCCACGTGTTCGATGTATATCGAGGCCTCCAATCGTATCCGATGGCCAAACAGCCCCTGAGCATCCGAAGTCTTCAACAGTAACCGAAGTCTCGTCGGAAACTCGACAGAGCCCTTCATCTCCCACCGACACTCCCATCTCTGTCAACGCTGTCGACATCACGCCCTTCACGAGGCACTCTGATCTCTGGTTCAACGATGGCAGTATGATATGCAGAGCAGAGAACACGCTGTTCAAAGTTCACATGTCGATACTGGCACGCCACTCGGAGTTCTTCAAAGATATGTTCTCGATGCCTCAGCCCGAATCACCATGCGACGATTCGGAGACGAACATGGCACGTATTTTGAAGGCTGTCAATACCGATGGAATCCCGGTCGTCGAGCTATACGATACCGCGGAGGATGTTGGCAACCTCCTGATTGCACTTTACGATGGGCCGTACGTTGACAACTTGCAATTCTCCTGATCATGGTCGTTGAATTATAACATGCACGAAAGGACATTCGGTTGCAATGATCAGGAAGACTTTCGGGTCGTATCTGGTGTCCTTCGACTGTCGACGAAATATATTATCGAAGGCCTGCGAACGAAAGCGTTGGAGCATCTCAGCGCGGCATGGCCATTAAATATCAAGGCATGGGATATGAGAGAGGATTTAGCGCGTTCGCACGAAACAGATGTCGCGTCGAGTGGCAGTCACCTCTATCCACATCCGATCGTAAGCCCATTGCAGTCCAGATGGCGCACAGTGGCTGAACGTTTGTTGGTTTTAGGCAGTTATAAATTTGGCTCGCGAAGTGCATGCACCATCCCTCTTACCCGCCGCATTCTACGATCTCTCTCGCTATCCCTTTTCGCACATCTTTGAACCAACAGAAGAGGAGCAAACCTACCGCACGCTTCCTTCCTTCACCTCCAACCTCTCCGTTGCGGATCTACAAAGGCTCTGCCTTGGTAAGGAAGCAAGCCAACACGCTATTACATCCCTCATCACTGCTATGGGGAGCAGCCAATACGTCCGATCGGCTCAGCTCTCAACTCACACACGCAAACCCTCCGCGAGCGGTGTTTGTGTCTCTGCCGCCGCCTGCCGGAAGGATTTCTCGGAACTGGTAGATCTGGCTACACAACACTACCTCTTCGACCGCGAGCGGGGCTGCTGCGATCCACTTTATGTTGCAGAGGAACTGGGTCAGCTGAAGAGTGCTGAGTTCTCGGAATGCAAGTCGTGCGCGAGATCCCTGGAGGCTTGGGCGACAAGGGAGAGGGAGAAGATGTGGAAATCGATATCAGTCTGGTTTAGATTGGACTACTCCGGTGACACTTCCCCGAGGATTGCTTAAGTAAATGTTGACCACATGTACTAGTCCGTTATTTTTCCATCTTTCCTCTCCCTTCACGACACCCAAATCTGTACGATAGTGGATATTTAATTGACCTCGAAATTTTATTGCAGTGTGCTGAGGCTTCAAATTTTCAAAGCTTAAGCCCAGGGTCGCCTTCCAAGCCAGACTGGAGTCGTCAACGAGATCATCTTATGATTATTTATAGTGTCTCCTTGAAGAACGAGATATCGCCAAAATCAGCACTTGCTCCAGGTTGGCCACCTTCAACGCTCGCTGCAGAGGATATAAAAACCCTGTAGTTTTCGAGCTCAGAGCTCAGTCGTATTCAGGTACTGTACGTAGCCCATTGTGATTCCATAAACACGATCTGAATCTGTCGCCACCATCGTTCATTTTGCAAATCTGACCACTTTGGCCAGCGTATTAGGCCAGCGTTTACCGTCACACAAAGGGACAGATGCCTCGCAAAGGGAGGACATCCGACCAGCACCGACCTTGACAGGCAGCAAAGGGGCCCCTGTGCTGCCCAAGTGCTGCCATGTGACAATGTGTTGATCTTGGCCCGCCCTGAACGGGACGTTCTTTCGACGAATTCCTCGAGATCATTGTCTCCTGGGTAACGCGTCTGGCCCAAAAATGGCTCTCGCAAACGTATAAAAGCTCCATTGGTTCCACACCCTATGCTCTCCATTCCCCCACTTCGCTTTCCTTCTCTTTCCCTTGGAGCCAGGTGCTCGTCCTTTCTTTCCTTCTCGGTCACTTTCCTCGCTATCTAGTCCTCTTTTCACTCTCCTTGTTTGATTCGTAATGGTCCAGCTCTCCTGGGTTTTTCTCGGCTTCATCGCCGCCGGTGTTCAGGCAGCACCTCTTTACAAGCGCATTGCTCAGAACATCCCTGCTGCTACGCAAAAATGGGAGCAAGCTTGCGTACGTTGAACACGGACATGTCGGGCTCTATTTTTTATTTACTACTTTTGCTTTTTCCTAGCTCGCCGCCGGTGGCGGCCAGCGGTGCAACCCGATCTCTGTCACAGCCTTCAGTACCCTTCTCGCTGCTCCCGGTCCTTGTGAACAGCAAAATGCGGCAGATCAGATGATTGACTTGGCCAAGCAGCTTGGAAACAACGCGGAGATGATTCGTCTCACTCAGATCTTTGTCCAGCAACCACGCAATACAGTGAGTGGCATATCCGACGTCAAAGACATTGTCTAACAGCGTTCGCAACCCAATCAGCCCACCTCTCAGAGCGTGCCATACTGCCAACAAGCTCCCAAGAATGCTGAACTCAGAGGCTTATTCCAGTGCCAGTTCGCCGGTGCCAATCCCTCCGTCTTTGTTGGCGGTGCGGCCGTCGGTTCGGCGGGTACAATTCCCTTTGGCAAGAACGCGCCTGTGCGCCCTCCCGGGTCATGTCCCGCCAGCCCCAATGCCGCCGTCCCTGATGGCGCTCAGCTTGTTGACATTACCCAGAACCCCGGTGTTGGCGGCGCTGGAA